AGTACTAACTTTAATAATGGTGAGTCGTTGAAAGAAATCGTTCAGTTTTTTGAATTCTCTAACACCTACATAAGTAATTCTACATATATTTTAAAAACATTTTTTTATGTGCTAATGAACTTATTCTTATTGTTTCAAGTCTTAGATCAACTTGCAATAATTGAATTAGCAGTCTTCCAAACAAAACACACGGAATTGTAATGTATAAAGGCGCTATTACTGTTTAATGTTGTTGTTTTTTTGGAGGGGGAATTCTAGGTTAGGCTTTTGTAATTAGGCGAGATTTATTTTTCTGTAGAATGCGCTTATATGAAATTTAACTCGCAACAGTAACAACCCAATCAAATTGTTCTAAATAAGGGACGTCGCACCAATAAAAGTATCTTTCCTTTGAGACTGGGTGGGCGCCGACTCTTCAGTAAATGAAAATATGAATAAAGGGATACAAAAGATGCTTTGTTAACCGTTATGTGCTGTAAAGGACACCCCGCTGAAGAGAAAACGTTCTAAAACCATATTCCTCTGTAGGGGGTATGGATGTCTGTCTTCGGGCTGCTTCCCGCAGGGTTAATGCTAATTAGGACTAATGTGCCTACTATCATTGTCTATGAATAATTCTTCAGACGGTCTCATTTCTTTCAGGTTGTCTACACCTGGGTCATTAGTGGATGGCACGACTAGTAACCAGCCTTAGAACACAGTGAATGTCAGCTTCAGGGCAGGCCTGATAGATGTAGAAATCCACAAGTTAAAAAGATCAATCTATAATCAGTTGCTTCTATTACAGTGAATTTAAATATGACGAGCTTTAACCCTAAGAACTTACCGTTTCTTTTAACACAAACCTAAAGCAATATATATAAATGAAACACGAACTTGTCTCATGTACCCTCTTTTTGATGTTTTATGTTTTATTAGACAGCTTGGAATTCATGGTATAATAATAGAGTGTATAGTGTGTAAAGAATGCTTAAATAAGAAATACGAGTTGACATTTGAACTTTTATTTCAGTTTTTTCGAGACACATAAGTAATACATAGAATATGTATAGTAATTTTTTTTTAAGTTTCGTCTGAAGTTGCGCTTACTCTGAGAGTATTAGTGTATTAAATTCAAATCAAAGTTTGATATTATATATATATATACATATAACTTTTGGCAGACAGTTTAATAGAAATTCAGGCTTTGTGATTCACAGAATAGTTATATTGTGAAATAATTTCGACAACAGAATAATATCCCATTTACACGCTGATGTAAAGTAACATTAAATGATCATTTACGATGCTGAAAAGTTAGTTTCAATCTCAATATCATTAACATTTAGTCTTTAGAGAAATACAACCTTGTGTATTATTCTAAACGTAATACGGTTTCACAGCTCTTATCTACAAACTGAACAATTTCAGTTGCAACAGAATTTAATTTAAAACTAACCTAAAGTGAAACATGTTTCAACATTACTTTGAATTCAAAAGTTTTAACTAAATTTGCTTTGGCGCAAAAGTTTCCTAATTTGTTTCTCCACTATATGTTTTCTCCTAATTGCCTAAAACTTGTATAAAGTCTTCAGAGAAGTATTTGGTATTTTCAACCTGTTCACGTGAGCTAAGTGGCCAAGTCAAAGATTTCTAATATAGGGCTTCTGAGACAAACCAGTCACAATACCCATCGCCTACTCTTATCAGTAAAGTAGGTTTAACTGTCATAATCATAACGCTTCCACAGTAGAAAATGCAGAGTGTCTTCACGATATATCGCGGCCTGGAATCTTGGACCTTCTGACACGTTAATAACTGAACTACACTCGGACCTCCACAGAGAAATAGCTTTGTTTTGATTAAATGGATTAATATTTCACGAAACAGCATACTGCACAGACAAGCCAGGAGCTGTTACTATTACAATCATCCATGCAATTAACTTGCATAGTTCTAAATAACGCTCTTATAAAAATCCGAACCATTATAAACACACGAAATAAGTATGTAATTCCCTTATATCTGATCAACTTCAACTTTTATGTCTAAAGAAAAACTATTAAATGCTCATTATATGAAAACAAATGAGTTCACAGTTGACAGTAAAACTCATGACAAGCTTACGGATTCGAGCATCAATCCAGACAAAGTAGTTAAGTGTTTTAAGTATTCCAGCTGTAAATGTTTGTTAGTTAAAATCCTAAGTAGTGAGATATAAGACAGTTTTTAATATAAGCCTTAAAATTAGAACCACAGCAAGGCTTAAGACTCTAGTTTACGTGACGGAAAGCCAAAACCACCTGACCCAATATAAATTGTCTGTAGTTCTATGAATTAACTTTGATTTAATTGCATATAAAAATACTTGTTTTACTTATACCTCCGTTGAGTGACAATAACATGTATGCAACGAAAATTAAATAAAATGGTGGTAAAAATTTAAAAAAATTTTTTTGACTGGCTATATTTATTTTATTGTATGCATTAATAATTGTTATGCAGGTTCTACCGTCAAACATTGCGAATTCATTATCCTTCACAGATTTGCTTTTTATCATATTTTCTGTTTCCAAACTTTATTATTACTGGAATTTGCAGTAAATGGAGGATGGTCCACCTGGAGTCCTTGGAGTGAGTGTACTAGCCGTTGTGGTCGAGGATCGAAACTACGAAGTCGTATGTGCACTAACCCGACCCCTCTCAACAATGGTCACCAGTGTGTAGGGGAAGCTGCTCAGAGGTCTGATTGTACAGTGTTATGTCCAGGTAAGTCTAAGAATTGAATTCGTGGTATTCAAAAATACTTACCAATGTGTAGGGAAAGTTACTCAAGTGTTTGATTGTACAGTATTGTGTCCAGATAAGTTTGAGGATTAAATCCATGATATTAAACAATGGTCACCAGTGTATAGGGAAAGCCACTCAGAGATCTGATACGGTGTTTTGTTCAGGTAAGTCTGAGGATTGGATTCATAGTATTCTAATCACTTTATTACCAGTACAATGCTTCAGCAAGAATGATATTAACCTAGCCAAAAACCTTTAAGTTATTGGTTAAAGGCAATCGTCAAAGCTTTAGTAATTACATTTAAAATTGTCTTTTATCCTTTGTTTGCAGCCAAAGATGACTCTCCGCGCTAAACATTAAGTCGAAGTTTCTAATTTTCAATGAGTTCCCAAGTTGCCAATAACAGTTTCCATCCCTAAGCAAGTCTTTTAGTTTTAATAGTCCAAAAGCCTAAACTAGCGAAGTTTTGAGGCGTTTTAGGCCTAAAATTACACTTGACTACAGATATTTTTCTTTAAAGTTTTAACCTTTCTCTTAATTAGCCTTTTGTGGCTCTGTTGTGTTAAATATATTGTACTACATATAGATAACATTTTAAATATGCTGCCAAACATACAGTTTCCTCTACACCTATTTAAGTTACAGGAAAAAATGACAAGAAAAACATCAATTCCGTTTTGACAAAATTTTGATTCTAAAAAAGGAAAATAAGTAATTAAAATGAATGTCAATAAATACATTTGGAGTTTTGCGGGATTTCAACAACTCGCCTATTTGTTGCAAGCTGACATTTTCTTGTTTATCAAATATCGTAAAAATTGCTATTATAAATGTGTCTAAATGTCTATTAGTCACTTATGTATGTAAATCCTGTTCATGCTTTAAATGATTGCTAGAAGCCGATTAAGAGAAGTTTTAAACTACAAACTTTCTGAAACTATACATCCATACTTCATATATTCACGAATATTGTGTTATTACATTAAAATATTTGAGCAAAATGATATCTATTATATTTGATAATTGACTATTTGACCATGCCAAAAATCATTCTCATTTCAGCAAAAATGGCATCTATCGTGCCAACTTTCCAGATGAATGTATTTATACTTATTCCCTCCAGAGGCTCTTGACTCTACTGCCAATCAGTTACTGTAGTTCAAGCTCCTTCCTCACGTTTTCAACAATGTTTACCTCTTTCATTTGGTTACAAAAACTTGGGCATCTTCTGTTGTAACTTTCTTGCTTCACATGATCCTGTAAACAAACAAACAACAACATCAACAAAAACACAAAAAGAAAATAATTCCTGAGTTGGCTTCGAAATGTTTTTAACTTATACGCCCAACTCAATAAGTAACTTTCCTTTCATTAATCCACCATCTTGGAAAAAAAATTTATTAAAATTGTATTTCACCGAAAATTTGTCATTTTTTTCCCTTTACTTGGAATATCTTATATACCTAGTTAACTGGTAAAAACCTACTACTGTCACTGCTTAGTTTTCATCAATTTGACAACTAATAATTACAATATTACAAAATTTTCTCATTTATCACAGAGAGGATTAAATTCTTTAAACTCCTTTTACTTCGGATAACTTAAAAACTTCCTTTGCTTCCTTTTTTCACGCCCTTGATGACTGGACAGTAAGCTTGGGAGCTTACAACGCTAAAAATGAGGGTTTGATACTCTCGAAGAACAGAACACAGATAGCCTATTCATTTTAAATTAGTATATAATTAATTTTTGAATCTCTGTCATACTTAGTTTTCATATATTTCTAGTTTATTTTCTAGCATGTGAATAACTTAATTGTTTTCTCCTTTTATTTTCTTTGTTGTAAAACAACTTCTATTATGGTTGCCTTAGTGCCTAAAAATTGTTTGATATGGCCAGCATCTTCAAATCAGTATTTAAGAAATACACGAACTGTTCTCTATTATTACATACTTTCCTTTTAATGACGAACTTTCGGCCGTCTTACTGGAGTCTTCATCAAGCAACAATATATGTAGCTGAAAATGTAACGTGTGTGAATGGGAAGCTTTTTAAATTTTATTAAAGTCTACAAAAATGAAATTAGGAGTATGGAAGTACGGACGACGTCATCATATGTGAAACAAAAGAAAGGGAAATGTATTTGGAGAATGGAACTGCCATCTCTCTCGGAGCTCCATCTCAAAAAGTAGTGTATATGTGTTAAAGTTCTGTGTGTGAATATCTTAGAGTACAGGTACCGTCGCCCTGTTGAGTTTAATACTTGCCCCCCAATACCCAGGTTTTGAAAGTGTAACTAAATCTACTGTATCTTACTGGATAAGTCGATCAGTTTGTCATTTCGATTCAAAGTATCTTTTTGCACTAGAGGTGTTTGGTGGGTATCACGTGTTGTGGAACAAGTTAGATTTAACCTCGCAGTCTCCGTGACGCCCGGTACGGCCATCAGATTTGTTCAGAACTCAACGTACCTAATCTCATACGTGAGTAGTCTAGGCAGGTCACTTAACTGTTTTTATTATTTTAAATACACAGCGCTGCCTTGACATTTTATAAGCTCTGTGCATCGAAATACAGAATACCACAATGAAGAAAAAAAATGTTTCGTACGCGAAGCACGATTCTCCCCCCCCCCTCCACCCCAGTGTACATAATTCAGTTGCGTTATGAGTTAAGTAAAACAATCTATATTCGAATCAGACTTAAAATAATCATACCCAAACGCTGTGTACTCAAATAAATCTCGAAGAGTATACCGTCTTTTACATGTAATCTTAAGAAATGTTTATCTTTAAATAAGAATTTTGTAAGTTTCATATTTCAAGTAAAAATATATTTTTGATATCGTTTACATGAGATTTGGACAAAAGTATGAGTCTTCGTTTTTCTTAACTATTAAAAACTTTGTACTCTTCGTGTGAACTTCGAGAAAATTTTAATAGTTTTCAAACTTAAATATGTTTTTGATTCAATAGACAAAAAGAATTACTAAAAATAAATAATCAAATACTCATTTCGTTACCATTTCTAATGATGAATACATTTTTAAGTATTGTAGAACTTTATATTAAGTAGGACTATATAGTTTTTAACGTATAATCGTCTACAGTGTTACGAATTTAGTGTACATCACACCTGTTAAACCTTAACTGAAAGACCATAGTTTTTAGAGTACTGAGGGTATATAGATGCGAAAAAGAAGAAATATTTTTTTAATTTGCAAAGAAACGTTCTGTTAAACATAATCATTCGTCACGGTATCTTTGGTGTATTTATCGCCAAATTTTCCGGTGACATTTCCTCTAAGATGGCAGTTGAGTTTGTCATAAAAGATGTTGATGGAAAGAGTTAGAAAATGTATAAAATATGCAAGAAATACTTGAAAAAAGAACAGACACAAAAAAGTTTATATTGTTTTTGCTTATGTATTTATTTATTTTTTTATATAATGTTTAAAATAGTTTGTTTCTAACATCTCTCCGAAAGTAGGTTTTTCAAACTCTCTCCTATTATTTCCAGCAGGAAATGAATCAGATAAAAAGAATAAGTTTTACATTGTAAAAGTTTTGTGTGACGCTGTCTGGAATTTCCACTCCATCATGTTTTTTTTTAACTATATAAAAATCAGACGTTGAAAACATTTTCCGTGTCTAACTGTGACAGACATCTGACTTTTCATCAACTGACATTAAAATTGAAAAGTTCTAGAAAAAAGCTTAAGTATTTTTCTAAAACTGTCTTTAGAATCTTAGCAAAAGTCGCCAAAAACTAAGCAAATAAATCACTAGTGACAAGCGCTTGTTTGAGAAGTTAAAACCAATGATCATCACATAAAAATTTAGAACTCAAAACCAAAGTATAATTCAGATTAATTGATTTAGAAAATAACATGTTAATTATTGTTTTCTTTTTATGAACAACTACTGTATTATCGTGTTTTTAAATTTTGTTTTATATCATAATGAAAGGTAAACTAATAATTTCAGACTTTAAACAGTCTATTTTGTGTACCACAAACCACACAGCAGAAGCCTGTTAATAACGTAATGATCAAACAGTCACTTCTTTCTTAAATTTCCCAATAGAAATGCACGTTTGAAATAGGTATGTTGATATTCAAGTTTAATTGTTTTATTATATTTGCTGTACATATGATAGAACCAAAATGTTCAAAAATTCTCTCTTTGTTAATTTAAAGCTACAAAAACTTTTATACATAAGATGAAATATTTATTAATTTAGAACGAGTCGACGTTTATGGAATGACGATGGGTTAGCAGGAGCAAGGTTAGAACACACCAAGCTAAACAATTAAACCTGCATATGTAAATATTACACAAAAATCTGACGTTAGAATGAATGGGGTCGCTATACCTATATACGGAAGTCGTTTATTGTCCTAAAGTAATTTTAAAACAGTTTAGTTTACGCTAACTCTTTTTTTTTTTTCGATGACGAGGAACCCTCTTTGAGACTAATAATGGTTGGAGACGGCTTGAATGGGTACTGAAGAAAAACTTTAATATACGTTTAACATAACAGCAAATGTACAACGTTTCGCAAGGTTTTGTCATCATCAGGTACAAGGTACATCAGAAATAAGAGCATAAATATCACCTCTAGCTTGTCACATTTAGCAGTGTTAATGTGGAGGAATGCCCTTCTAGTACATTACGAGACCCTTAGATCTATACTTTTAAGAAGAGATTATAATGAGAACTATCGGTATTTGAACGTCTGTACTAAATGAACCGTATTTTCACATCTATAAACGTCTCTCCGTATTTAGAGTATATATATATATATATATATATATATTAATTATATATTGTGCTTGCCTACTTATAATTGTACACATTTTATTTTTTCTAAAATCAATACATAGAAAAATTAAACCAATCTACCTGTTTTAACTTTTACGAAACGTTGACCGCTCAGGTATAAACTGCCTATAAAACGCCAACCAGCACCAAAATGT